CTATCTTAGCTCCTCCTTTTTCTGATTCTAATTCTGCTTTTCTCATGATGTTTTCACCATATAAGTTAAACCAGCTGAGAAACCAATAGGGGCTGCTTCTTAGCCTACTTGTTTTGCCCTGTACATTCAGTATCCCCACTGTATCTCCTATTTTTGCTTTAGGAGCTGAATGACAGGTGGAAATGCAACAGATGTAGCCTTTCACTACTTGGTGATCAGAAATGGTAAACATTGTCTGGGTATCTATTCTCTGCAGCTTTTTACAGCCTATAATCAACAAGTCAGGGGAGTAGAATCAAAGAGTTGGAAGAGATCCCAAGGGCCACCCATTCCTACTGCCTGCCATGCAGGAAGACACAATCAAAGCACCCCTGACAGATGGCCATCCAGCCTCTGTTTAAAAACCTCCAAAGGAGGAGACTCCATCACACACTGAGGCAATGTATTCCATTGTCAAACAGCTCTTACCATGAAGAGGTTCTTTCTAATGTTTAAGTGGAATCTCCCCCCCCCCATCCATTGTTCTGGGTCCCATTTTCTTTAGCAACAGAAAACAAGCTTGCTCCATCCTTAATATGACCTCCCTTCACATATTTAAACATGGCTGTCATGTCACCCCTTAACCGTCTCTTCTCCAGGCTAAACATACCCAACTCCCTAAGTAACGCCGCATAGGGCTTGGTTTCCAGACCTTTCACCATTGTGGCCACTCTCTGGACAACCTCCAGGTTGTCAATCTCCCTCTTGAACTGCGGTGACCAGAACTGGACACAATATTCCTGGTGAGGTCTGACCAAAGCAGAATAGAGTGATACTGTTACTACCCTCAATCTATTCTAGACACTCCTCTCGTACTGATAAAGTGTAGAATTGCATTGGCTTTCTTAGCTGTCGCATCACATTGTTACCTCATTTACAACCTGTGGTCCACTAAGACACTTAAATTCCTCTCTCATGTACTGCTGTCAAGCACGGTATTACCCATCCTGTAACTTTATTTCAGACATCACTGCCTCACTTTGATAAGCAAAAATCCAGTCAGTACAGTGGGCCCTTCACATGTGCTGGAGTTAAGAGTTTCCACCCCCATAAAAGTAGAAAAACTGCAAATAAAAAAACACTATTTTTAAAAACTGAGAAAACACCTCCCTATGAATCTCTAGGTCCTCCCACACAACACTATGGTCAACATCTGCTGGAAGTTAACCATAGAATTGCGCTGGAGGACATACAGGTGCTCTTATTTAGGACGTTATCACACATGGGCCAGAAAGCGATAATGAAGTGGAAATGAGGCATTCCGAAAATAAACTGAAAATAAACCTTGATTCCGCAAATGGCTTTCACACGTAATTACCTTAATTGCAAAATTAAAGTAAGCGCATTTAACGTTCACACACAAGCAAGAAAATGTACTAGAAATGTACTAGAAATGAGCTTCTTGCACATGCGCAGATAGAGGAGTGCTTGCCGTGGAACCATGGGAAAAGCAGGAAAATGCTCCCAAATGCGCATTTGCTTTTCACATTACGGTAAATGCAAAATTACCTTAATTTCTCATTTGCATTTCCTCCAAACAACCGAATTTCAAAAGATCTCAGATAACACCAGTTTCTGTCCACTTTCTGTCCAGTTTCTGTGTGATGTCATGTGAAAACGCGAGACACAAATCCAGTTTCTGTTTGGGATTTGTGTGGATTAACCAGCAGATTTGCCCCGTGTGATAACGTCCTTAGAGAAGTGTTCTCTCTAGGAATCTCTGGGCCCTCCAACATAACATCTGGCAGATATAGAACATAAAGTCACACTGAAGAAGCTAGAGATTCCTAGGGAGAACACATTGTTCGACTGTATATCTTTATTCATGCTTGTTGTATCCTCTCACACTGAAACTGTTTAGGACTATAGCTCCCAGAATCACCCACACAGAACAGCCAATGGGTATGCTCACTGGGAATTCTGGGAGCAACAGTATACAAAAGTAACATTTCCAACCTCAAATTTTCTGATATTGTTGTTACTTATTGTTGTAACATACCCCTAACGTGGAGGCACTTGAAACGAAGAGCAGGAATCATTTTAGAAATGCTTATTAAATAACTTGGTAAAACTGGACACACTGACCCAAAGCAGAGCAGGCAAATAAGTGTTAAAAGAGGCAGGAAGACTTTAGAACTGGAATTCAAAGATCTATTTACAAGTTGGGTTAAATTAAACTACCGGAGGGAGCCAGTGTGGTGTAGTGGTTTGAGTGTTGGACTGAGACTCTGGACACCAGGGTTTGAGTCCCAGCTTGGACATGAAACCCACTGGGTGACTTTGGGCAAGTCACATGCTCTCAGCCTCAGGGGAAGGCAATGGTAAACCACCTCTGAACAAATCTTCCCAAGAAAACCCCATGACAGGTTTGTCTAGGTCAGGGTAGGCAACCTAAGGCCCGGGAGCCGGATGCGGCCTCCCGAGGCCTTTGGACCCACCCTAGGCCAGTCCTGCCGCCGCCACCGCCACCGCCCCCCGCCATGATGATATTGATTATTGTTGTTATTACTTGTTCTTGGGGTTTTCTTGGCAAAATCTCCACAGGGGTTTTGCCATGGCTTTTCTGGGGCTGAGAGAGTGTGCATGCATATTTTTTATTTTTATTTATTTATTTATTTATTTGTGGTGCTTCGGCCCCCCAATTGTCTGAGGGACAGCAATCCAGCCCCCGGCTCAAAAAGGTTGCCTACCCCTGGTCTAGGTTCACCATAAGTTGGAAATGACTTGAAGGCAAACAATGCACACGCAAACCACCTGAATCTTCTCTAACCATCACAGACCTCCAGCTGAAAACTCGTGCCAAATGGCTGAGCAGCTCCTGGGGTTTTCAACAGAAGCAGACTGAAAAGATTTCTGCTGTTGCTCACAGTGTATGTGAAAGTTTCTGTCACCTGTCTTTAAAATATGCAGAACGTTTTCTGCTCTCCCCCCTGCTTGAAGTTGTCATTGTGATCTAAAGCTCCCTTTCTCTTCATTAAAATGCTCTGCAGGTATAGAGCATTGTGAAACCTGCTGTTCAGTAACCAGCATTTTTGCATGCTTATGACATGGAAGAACTCTGTACCAGGAATGGCCTCTCCCTAACACTGGGCAAATAAAGGCTCACTTCTGTTAATATTAAACGAAGAGCTAATAAGCAGCTTGCTGCAAGCAGGTGGCCAGGGGAACGTTGTGTAGTCAAGGAGCTAAACAGGGACAAATTTCATATGTGTGTGGGGGGGGGTAGGAGTACCCTGCTGTTGTTCCCCCACAGCTGGAGTTTGTAGGCATATCCCTGAGGGATCCTGTAGATTCACAGTAACGTTGTTGTTTGAATTCCTTTCTGACTTATGGTGACCCTAAAGCAAACCCATCATGAGGTTTTCTTGGCAGGATTTGTTCAGAGGAGGTTTGCCCTGAACTGCTTCTGAGGCTGAGAGAATGTGACTTGCCCAAGGGCACCCAGTGGATTTCTATGGCTGAGTGAGATTCGAACTGTGGTTTCCAGAGTCATAATCCAACACTCAAGCGTACTACAACATACTGGCTTACTTCAAGATACATTTGTAGTTAACTGCCCTCAGGCTGACTTCAACTTATGTCAACCCTATGAATGAGAGACTTCCAAGTCACTCTTATCGTTATCCAAAAGCTTAGGGTCCCGGGGGATGCACCCACAAACTGTATTCAATGAGGAAATTAATTTAGCTCAATATTTAGCAGTGAAAGGGCCAGGGTAACTCTGGCTGGGACACAAGCCTATGTTTACCAGTCCCAAAAAACTCGAACTCCAGAGAGTAAGTACAACTCAGTTTTATTATTTGAACAATATTAATAAGAAGCACTTATACATACACAAACTAAGATATAATAGGTGGCCATGGACAGCAAATTAAAGGATTGCAATGGGCAGTTCCAGAAACTAGACTCCAATCTGAGCAAAAGCTGGGAGTTGAATGGAATTCAGCTTGTTGCTATGTGGCACAGACAACAATACTGAGGGGTCAAGCTTGAATCTGACAGAGTTTCTGCCTGATTCCAAACTGGACCAAAGTAGGAGTTCCCAAGTGGGCATATTTATGGGCCAAACTTGTCTCGTGGCAGTTTGTGTTGATTTTCCAGGAATCCCAGAAATAATGGGATTCCCAGTTTGTTGATGGTTTTAACTTCAGAGTTACAAAAATAATATTTTTGGTTGATGGCAGTGACATTGATTTAATGACCAGTAATAAGATCAGGAAAGCCCCTTGGAGTTTAGGATAGGATGAGGTGTTAGAAAATACATTGGGGGCTAGCAGATAGATTGGCTTACTGCTTTAGGCTGACAGATTTCTTTGCTTTTGACCTTCAAGAGGAAATGCATATGGCAGGGGGTTGGGAAGCAGCAATATTCATAGCCATTAAGTTACATGGGCCCTTTACATATGCTCTCAGGTCTATGTGACCATTCATGTGATTCACTTAAACGTTGTCATAACTATTCCAAGTTCATGCTTTTTGGCCTCTCTGTAACTGCTATTATAACAAAATATAACAAACTATTTGTATCCCCAAATAACATGGGATATGCAGGGTGTGTTAACATTATTATCAACATCCCTGCTCAGATCTTGTATAATCAGGCTTGTGGCTTCTTTGATTGGGTCCATGCATATGGAACACAGTCTTTTTCTTTTCCTACTACCTTCTATTTTGCTAAGCATTATTATTTTTTTCTAGTGAATCATGTCTTCTCATGATATGCACAAAGCCTCAGTTCAGTCATTATGGCTTCTAGGGAGAGTTCAAGTTGATTTGCTCTAGGATCCAATTATTTGTCTTTTTAGTAGTCCACAATATCTGCAGAACTCTTCTCCAGCACCACAACTCAAGTGAGTTCATTTTCTTCCTATCAGCTTTCTTCACTGTCCAGCTTTCACAATCATACATAGAAATGGGCAATCCTAACTTTAGTATTCAATGATATATCCTTATACTTTAGAATCTTTTCTAGTTCTTTCATATCCACTCTTCCAAGTCCTAACCTTCTTCTGATTTCTTGACTGCAGTCTCCATTCTGATGAATGACTTGAGCCAAAGTGTAGGAAATCCTTGACTATCTCAATTTCGTTGTCTACTTTAAAATTATGTAAATCATCTGTGGTCATTCTTTTTGTGTTTTTAATATTCAGTAGAACCTTGAGCAGTAGGGAAAAAAATCGTTATCATATCATATCTGCAGTAACTTAAAACTGTCTGTAGAGGGTAATATTTGCATTCGCTTGTTAGCAGCTCAAGCACAGCAAGAAAAATAATTTCATTCAACCAACTTATGCCACAGTATTAACTACCACTATTTCCTAAATGACTTTAAGAAACTCTGTAGAATCATAGAATCATAGAATTATAGAGTTGGAAGAGACCACAA